CACCTGCATCTGATGTGCAAAGGTTAACAGATCCATCTGGTGCAGATGAAAGAATCTGCAAAGCTAGAGCAGCTCAGCCTGCAGGCTCGCTGTTCCAAACACTCCCCTGCTAGGTGATGAGAGGCGCGTTCCAGGCCTGAGCCCTGGCAGCTCTAGGAGGGATTGAAGCCAGGCCACAGTTGCCCGTTTTACACATACCAATTTTTCACTTCTATTTTTTTCTCCTTCATTACTTGGCCCATGACAGGCCTGGTCCACTACAGAAATATATGAATATTGTCATGATGTCAAAGAATGAGGTATTCTTTGCTATTTCTGGAAAGATACTATCCCTTAAAGAGAAATAGTAATTTTATAAGGTGACTTTGATCTGCCAAAAATAGATCTCTACCCAAATTGCAAACATATTTTTGATAGAATGAAGTCATACTGTACTTTATTTTCAATGATTATGCCATTTTATATTTATTTCTGTATTTTTCATTCCCAAGACTGTGGGTGTTTTATTTGATAAATGGTATATTATTGTACATCTATGTTTCGCGGGTATCATAAAATAAGGGACTTCATAAATAGATGCTTTAAGAAAGTAACTTAAAAACACAGTAATAAAGTTCCCTTAATAATTTAAAATTTGGATAAGTCTTAGGCTATGCTTTTTTTCTCTCCACTGCCTTTTGGAGAACTGAGCCAAAAGTGAGAGAATGGTTCTTAGATTTACCTAAGTAAACTCCTTAGATACTAAGTATATTTCAGGTACTTCCAAGGTGAAATAGGACGAACTTCACAAGGTAAATGAAAGTAACATAAGTATGGACGCTTCTCAAAAAATTATAAACTGAGCTCCCCTTTGACCGAGCAATACCACTCCTGAGAATATATCCTGGAGAGGCAAAAATGTACAGTCGAAGTGACATCTGCAATGTTCACTGCAGTACTGTTTACAATAGCCAGAATCTGGAAAAAACCCGAGTGCCCAAGTACAGACGACTGGTTAAAGAAACTTTGGTACCTGTACACAATAGAATTCTATGCAGCTGTTAGAAAAGATGAAGTCATGACCTTTGCATCTAAGTGGATCAACATGGAAAGTATCATGCTAAGTGAAATGAGTCAAAAAAGAGAGAGACAGACATAGAAAGATTGCACTCATCTGTGGAATATAAAAAAACAGAATGGTGTAAATGTACCAAAGTCATGAAATTTACATACAAGTGGTACTACATGGAAAGTATCATGTTAAGCGAAATGACTCAGAAAGAAAGGGATAGACGTAGAAAGATTGCATTCATCTGGGGAACATAAAGTAACAAAATAGGAGACTAACACCCAAGAATGGCCGAAATTAGTACCAGGAATTTTACTCCATGGCTTGGAGGCCAACCACACATGCTAGGGGAAAAGGGAGCTCAAATAGAGAAGGGAACACCAAATAAAGGGTGTTGGGAGGATCCTCCCAGGATGGAAGAAGCATGCTGAAAGTAGACTATAGACCAAACATGATTGTCACCCATTGCCTCTTTTGCAAACCACAACACCCAATAAGAGAGAGAGAACAAAAGGGAATGCCCTGCCATAGAGGCAGGGTGAGATGGGGGGGATGGAGGGTGGGAGGGATACTGGGATCCGTGGTGGTGGGAAATGAGCACTGGTGGAGGGTTGGGTATTTGATCACTGTATAATAGAAACCCAAGCACAAAAATTTGTAAGTCTGCAACTGTATCTCATGATGTCTCACTATTAAAAAATTAAAAAAAAAAAACAGAATGGGAGACTAGCACCTAAGAGTAAGAGAGATAAGTACCAGGAGGTTTGCTCCACGGCTTGGAAGCTGGCCTCACATGGTGGAGGAAAAGGCAGCTCAGATCTCTGGTAAAATGTGGTTGGAGGACCCACTTGGGATGGAAGATGTGCGCTGAAAGTAGACTATAGATCAAACACAATAGCCACTCAATACCTCTATTGCAAACCACAATACCCAAAGGGAGAGAAAGAACAAAAGGGAAAGCCCTGCTAGAGAGGTGGGGGGGGGGCAGGGAGGGATGGAGGTGGAAGGGATACTGGGATCATGGGATCATCAGTGGTGGAGAATGGGCACTGGTGGAGGGATGGGTACTCGAGCACTGTATGACAGAAACACAAGCATGAAAGTTTGTAAGTCTGTAATTGTACCTCACAGTAATACATCAATAAAAAAATTTTTAAAAAATGACAATAAAAAAACCCTAAGAAAATCTTGCAGTGTGGAGAATTAGTAAAGGACTTGCCTTGCATGCCGCTGACCTTAGTCTGATCTCCAGCACTGCATATGGTCCCTGAGCAACGCCAGGAGTAATCTCTGAGCACAGAGTCAGAAATAGCGCGAGTATTACCAACAAAATTCAAACTCTTCATAGGAAGTCTTCCTCCCTGCCTTCCCTCCTTCCTTCCCTCTCTCCAAACCTCACTTCCTCCCTCCAGCTTACATAAATTCCTAAACTGCTACCACTTTCCAAGTCAAAACAGCAGCCAAAAACAGCACAACAGGATTTTCAGATTTCCATATTCAGAAGAGATCTGCTAACACCACAGGCAAAAGGAAGGAGAGGTAGACATGGCCTAGGGCAGGGTTGTTTAATTCTCCCCACCCCACCCCAAGTGCCTGAACCCTGGAGCATGAATACTTGGTTTAGAGTGCCCACCAACACCCTAACATCTCAAATTGCATCATGACAAATTCTCTAAGACGAATGCAGTCTGACTGCAGTGTTGTACATTTCCAAGTTTATTTGAATATCCCAATAATCAACATCTACTGAATACAAAGGACTGGGCAGGATGTGCTGAGAATTTATACATAAATTATCCTATTTATGACCACTATCGAAGTGAGAAATGTTCAACTTAGGGAAGTTTAGAAACTAATCAAAAGAATCGTGGCAAGGGGGTGGGGGGAGGGCCAGCTTGTGCAGTGGCTCCAATGGTGGCGTTCACATCTTGCACCGTGTCTCCCCCCAAACTCCCCCACCACAAATCATGGGACCATCAAAAGATCTTTCTGCACTAAAATGGTATACAGAAAGAAATGGAAGATGAATGACATTAAAAAAAAATCCTGCTAATGAATTATCTCTGCTTCACAAGTGTAGCTCAAATAATTTCAATACAGAGAATATGGTATTCAGATTATTCATGCTTTTGGGCAGCGCATTACCAAGATCTACACTGTGACTGGAAGAAAGCCACAAAGAGACACATGCTTTTGAGCAGTGGCCTCTTTCATTAATCTTAATTTCTGTCCACCCTGGCCCCTTGATCACTCCCCACTGCTCACTTTTCTCTCTTGCGGAAGGTAAAGGTGCCTCATCCCATAACCAAGTGGACCCTCTAAGACCTCTAAGGTTTCTACTCTTCATTCTCCAAGAAGCTTGAAAAGATCCGCTTGTTCTATTATTTTTCTATCTTGTAGATGTTTGTGGTTTATTTCTTTCAGGTCTATTAGTGGGGATATAGCCCATCCTTTAAAAACTCTCACCAAAGAGATTTCAAAAATGCTACTTGAAGAATCTGTCTCTTAGGAGAGAATGTTATGAGCAATATGTGACTCAATTTTTTTCACAGCTTTCTGAGAGAGTTGAAAATCAAAGATAAGGTAACCGAGGAGGAGTTTATGTCTGGAAAATTCTCTCTCTCTCTCTCTCTCTCTCTCTCTCTCACTCTCTCTCTCATACACACACAGTACTTATATACACACACTCATGCGCACATAGTTCTACACACATGCTAACTCACAACACTCTCTCTTATTCTCTCTCTCAGACACTCTCATGCATATACACATTCACACACACTTTAATCATTCCACAAGAAGGCACATGGCATGCACTCTGTGCTTCCTGAGAAAGGTGCCCAGCACATACCCACATGGGAGATGGAGAAGGCTGGCACAAAAGAAGCATGGCTAGATTCACACAGGACCCTTGATACCTTTCTCACCCTCACAACTTTTACCCCCAAATCTGGGATCACCTCTTAGAACCACTTTCTGGGAAGCAGCCAGAGAAATTTCTGGAGAACAAAGAGCTTATTAAATGCAAAGGATCCTTTAAAACTGTGCCCCATTCTTAGGATTTTCTTCATATTCCTCCTGGAAAATATAAGGTCTCTAAATATCAACTGAATGTACATGAATATAATTCCTCCTATGGCTCACTAGGTGACAGCTTATAAGTGTTACAATGAAATCTCAGAGTTATGACTTAGAGTTATGACTTAGAGTTGTCACCGAGCACTATAAATTCACTCTCATCCATTGGTGTCCAGCCCTGGTTTTGCTATTAACTAACTGGTTCTAGGATACAGAGATTTAATGTCTTGGAACTTCCGTGCATTTCTTTCAAAAGTAGGGCTAGATATACCCAACCGTTCCACACTGAAAATCAAATGACGGTCCAGGCCAAAATTGAGAGGAATTATCATCAACAATAAAAAGTGTTATAATAGTCTAAACAGTTACAAAACCATAAAAATCCATGTACTTCAAATACAGCAACAATTTCCTTTTTTATAGAGTCATGCTAATTCTATTTTGGTTCATTTTCTCCAAGTGTGACTAGCAGGCTGTTTTACAATTGCTAACTATCCCATTTTACTTAGAAACTTAATTTGTGAGTCATTAGGCACAATAACATGTCACTTACGTTTCTTTAAAAAACACACAGCAGATGTAAGAAAATCCGCCACCCCCATGGAAGAGAGGAGCAGATTGATTGTAAAGTAGTTTGGGGGCTGTGCTGCCCCACTCGGGGCTCCCTTACGAGCCCATCTGTGACGGCCCTTCATTGGCAGTGAATAAAGACAGTCGAGCTCTCTATTCTTTGAGTCCTTCATTAAACTATTGATCCCTTTAGCATTATCCATAATGTTCCCGCAGCTCAGCACGTCAACTGGTGAAGTGATAGTCTCACTCCTTTCAATAACTTGCGCACTTTATGGAGAGGAAGTCACGATGATTTATTTACCTGACATTTCCCAGTCCGGATGTCGTACAGGGCCACTGAACCATGGCGAGCTCCAACGGCGATCCTGTGACTCCGCTCGTAATAGCTGACCATGTAGAACCTGCAGGAACATTGGAACAACAGAACCAGAACAACCAGGTGAGATGACCTGAACGGGAGAGAGGAGAGCGACACAATTCAGGGATCAAAGGCAGCTCTGACACATTTTTTAAAGTATGTCTTGCTACAACTCACCTATGGAGGTGAAAAGATATTTTTCACGTTAGTGATAGTAGACTCAATAGAAAGAAAAAGGATACAGAATCCCACGTGGGCCTGCTAGCAATTATTTTCAGTGGAAAATCAACTTCCTAATTATAAATACCCTCTTAAGTTTTGGAGAAAAGAAATAAGGGTCAGAGACAAGAAGAGATTAAATTTGAAATTTCTTCTTTAGCTACAGAGACAATTATGCAAACATTTCCATTTGAACAGAAGTGCGAAAGTGGAAAAAGCTCACAGATCCCATTTAACCATGTTCTTGTGCTTTATTACAGACAGATTAAAGACTGAAGCATATGTTCTAGCAGAATAGTCAGACTAAAGCGGCATAACTGTTACACTGTTAAGATCATAATGGTAATTTAAAATGAGATTAGAAGATATTAACCAGACCAAAAAAAAAAAAACTACCTGGAAAATTCCCTAAATTTCCCCCATTTATAGCTTACCCAAATGATAACTCTGATTTTAGGGAGTACAAAAAGGCAAAGCTGGGCTCATTTGGCATTGCATAAAAATATAACATAATATATATTAAATATAAAATATATGATACATAATATATAATATAAATAGAATATAAAACTATAAAAATATCGTGGCTTAAAATGGATTTGTTTCCATTTATTTATTTTTGTTTTAGGATTAGTTTTCATGACTAGATTAAGTATTTGAATTCCTGATCTATGCTTTGTCAATGATTTCATGGTGACATGTCTGGAGTCTAGCAGGATAAGAATTCATTCAAATTATTAAAAGTATATATAAGGCAAGATTTTGCAACCTTAAAGAGTTTCAAATACGCCTTCCCATTGTTTAGTTCTATTGTCTCAGTGTGAACAACACAGATAAATAACTACTAAATATTTATGAGGATTTTGCATTAATCTACTATATAATTCTTGCCCTGTTTCCTCTTTGGTTCCATACTGACAACCTAATTCTCGTGATAGTTTTCAAAAGGGCAGGGAGAAGAAAAAAGAGATGATAGATAAGAAATATAATTTCTCTAATGCTTTCTTGAGCTTAGTATAAATGGAAAAATTACTCAGGCAAGGGACTATAATTCTGAAATTCTGGTAAGAGAAGCTAAAGAAGGGAAACGATACATTGTTTAATTGTGACTATTTTGAAATCAGGCACATTCTGACAAAGCCATTTTGACATTAGCAGACATTATAACATTCATACATATTTCATAACTCTGGAAAACAAACCATTAGGTTTTTAAACTTTTTGTTCATTACTTATTACCAAGCAAAGCATTCAACAATACTTGGCTTGCATCCTATCCCAAAGCTTCGCCCAGTGGCCACTCCTTCCCCCTTTAATGGAAGAATAAATGCTTCATCTGGAGTCACACAGCAGAAGATGCTACTTTCAAACACCTTCCCTTGGTGGGTTTGCTGTGCACAGGTAAGAGAGGTCTGTGTGCAGTGGTTTGAGGGAAGGAAAGCTACCGGAAGCTCCTGACACATGAAATTGCCCCACTATTAAGACTTTCATAAAGTTTGTTTTCAAAGTGAACTTTGAAGTTAACATTTTGGTTATCCAAACCAAGGCATTAGCATGCAGTATTCTAATATTCTTGTACCTGAAAATAAACGCGAATGATAAGAGTTTAGAATTTTCACTTCTTTCTATATAGAAATTATACTGGTACGTTTTTGCTGGTTTTTTTTTTTTTGGTCCATTTGTTTGTTTGGCCACACCTGGCACTGCAGTGCTCAGGGCTTACTCCTGGCCCTGTGTGCTCAGGGATCACTCCTGACGGGTCTCAGGGGCCCATATGGGATGCTGAGGACCAAATCCAGGTTGGCCACATGCAAAGCAAGCACCCTACCTTCTGTACTATAGCTCTGGTCCTATTGTGATTTTAGTTATAATTATTTTGTGTCCACATCTAGCTTATACTCATATACAGGCACATCCAACTTGTATCCTATCCCCCTAGCATGGAATAAACATGGAATAAATGCCTCAACAAATATTTATTCTGTGCAGGTGAATAGCCACAGGAAAATTGAATTTCCAGAGGTAACATTTTCATCCATTAATATATCTTGTGAGATGAAACAAACATTACCCAAATCTTTCTGCAAGCCATGAATATGATAACCTCTCAAAACAGCCCTCTTCAAAACAAACCGATTGTACAATACAATCATGCTGACAACATTTTACTTAAACTAGAATCTAAAAAAGTTTTCCTACATTCTTCTACAGCATCCACAAACACCTTTATTTATGGGAGGGAAAAAATCAAATCTATTCTTGGGATCAAACCTGCAGTCTGCCTGGAAGGACGATATATTATAGGTCCACATTTTTCATCCTTTGCAATTTACTACTGGACAAATACTTCTAAACACAATCTTAAAGCATTCTGGACAATGAAGGTCTCTACACATGGTTTTATCTTTGGGTTTCTTGTCCGGTGCTTTCTCCTAAATCTCTCTGAACAAGAGACACATGTGGTCACCTCGCAAATAATGCACTCTGGGCTGGTGGCATGAACCCATCTCTGGTGAGGAGAGCCCACCGCACCCCAGGCCCTCTTCTCCTGGAACCAGCTAGACACTGGGTGCTGCCAGGATTAAGTGGCAAGATCCCCACCACCTGTCAGCACCCCCAATGACTTAAGTGATGGCAGTCTTGAATTATTCCAAAATGCAGGAGGCTGGTGCTCTCAGAATAAAGAGCCTATCTGTGAAGCTTTATGGCTACCTCCAATTCACTGAATTAACGTGCTACTTAGGGAGAATCTTTTAGACCACGACCTGACAAGAATCCCTTTCTTGGGGTGGGGGTGGAGGGCTGGTGTTTTCAGCCCCTGGAGCTTCTCCTGGCTCACTGCATAGGATCCTCTCCCAGTACTCAGAGCAGTGCGTGGTGCAGAGGATCCAACCCGAATCTCCCACATGCAACGGAGTACTCTAGTTCTCTGGGTCATCTCCTGGGCCTGAAAAACCTTGACACTCAAGTTAGAAAAACATTTCTCACCTCCACCCCCGCAAGTCACAGAGAACATTACCATCCAAGTAAGTAAAGGAAGAATAAAGTTGAACTGAGGAACGTAAAAAAAATTTTTTTTGCAGGGGCTGTGACGGCCATCACCCAACAAAGTAAAGTCCCAGACCCCCAGTCTTTTTCATCCCCACATGCGATCTTTTCAATCACAAATCACCTCCCTCATGCTGATAGCTGCCCTTCAAGCCCCAACAAGATCCAGTCCTGACGTCTCTCAGATTTCACTTCCCTTCCCCTCTGCATACTCTGCTCTTATCATTTGGATCTTTCTGTGAAAATGCCCAGAGATTTCCTTCTTTGGGTTTCTTACACTGGCTGCTTCCTCCTCTGTTTAAAAATGATCACTTCATTTAGATCTGTTCCCAGATCCTAATAAAGGAAGCCGCTCTGCTCACCACTGCTCTTTAATCCAGCTCCCTTCCCTTCTTCCTTCTCTTCCCTTCTTCCTCCCCTTCCCCCTCCTTCCTTCTCCCCTTTCCTCCCTTCCTCTTCCCCTTCCTCTTTCCCTTCCCTTCCTTTCCTTCCACTCCCCTCCCCTCCGCTTCTTTCTTCTTTTTCTTTCTTGTGCCAGATATCAAACCCAGGACCTCTCACAAGTGCAAGGCAAATGCTCCAATGCTGAGTCACATCCATGGCCCCCCTGGTCTGTCCTTCTTTATTATACTCATCTCTGAGATATTAAATATTTTTTGGTTCATTGCTTGTTTTCCTCCGAGACTTTATTTTTTATTGAGTGTATAGATGCATAAATATGGTTCAGGCTATAGGATGCAGCAGTAAGAATTTTGATGCAGTAAAAAAGTTTTAACTATTATACTTAATCTTCAGTGACTAACGTATAATCTATGGCGAACATAGATTTTTATAAGGCTAACATATATTTCATAGAGCTTGAAATAACGAAAAAATAAAACTGTTAAAAAAAGGAGGGAGAAATCAGAAATGAAAGAGCTGTCCCTAAACCCATCTAAAATGTTATTTTTAATTGAGACAAATAATTGCAGATTTATAAATTATCTATAAAGGCTTCCAGACTCAGGTGCATTGCCCATAGGTGGATAATAGAAACAATGTGGCTGAGAGCTTGTGGACCCCTGGGCACTCCCAGGAGTGGCCCTGATGATGGAGCCCATAGAAGCCTCTGAGCACTGCTGGATGTGGCCCCAAACTCCCCTGAAAAATACAAAATACACTGGTGGTACAGCGATGTATGTATCTATGAGAGACACATACATACATACACCTCTGTCAAACAAACCACAGAACCAACAAGAAGGAAGCAGGAGACCTGAACGACCACAACCAAACTTTAAAACATGCCAGTCCAGGGGGCAGCCTGGGGAGCAGGGAGGAGGGGCCCTGGAGGATACTGGCAGGGAAAGTGGACACAGGCTGATGTGTGAACAATGGATGCCTGAAACTCAACCATAAGTAACTTTGCAAATCATGGTGCCTTACTTTAAAAAAAAAAAAACAAAGTTGTAAAACGAAAACCACCAAAAATAAAACCCTAATTGTATCTCTTTTTTTTATTCTTTTTGGGTCACACCCGGTGATGCTCCTGGCTTTGCTCTCAGTAATTACTCGTGGCGGTGCTTGGGGGACCATATGGGATCCTGGGAATTGAACCGGGGTTGGCCGCATGCAAGGCAAAGCCCTACGCACTGTGCTATTGCTCTGCCCCCCCCACCCCAACTGTATCACAGAGCACTAAAAAGATGACTTGGGATAATACTCAATACATATAGATTGTCTATAAGGATGAATGGCATAAATAATGATCCGTCTATAATGAAGCACCTATTTTGA